TGACTGCTGAGTTGAATAACCATCTGAATAGTTCTGTTTCTACTAAAACTGTTCACCGTGAGCTCCATAAGGCTGCATATCATGGAAGAGCCACTGTGAGGAAACCTCTTCTCTCCACTCGCAACATTCAAAAGAGGTTGAAGTGGTGCAGAGATCACAATGCCTGGTCTGCAGACCAATGGAAGCAAGTCATATTCTCAAACAAGTCTAGTTTTTCTTTTTTCTCAACTTCAGGGCGAGTTTATGTGTGGAAGCAGCCCAAAGAAGCTTACAACCCTTCTTTCAACAGTGAAGCATGGAGGTGGATCAGTGATAGTTTGGGCAGCCATATCATGGAGATATCTCAGTCCAATAGTTGCCCTGCATGGTAGAATCAACAGCAAAGATTACCTGAACATTTTGGGAGATCATGTTCATCCAATGGCCAAGACTTTATTCCCTGATGGTGACTGCATCTTCCAAGACGATAATGCTCCAATACATACCGCTCGAGTGGTTAAGAATTGGTATGAAGAGCATGAAAGTGAGCTAGAACACATGGAGTGGCCTCCCCAATCTCAAGATATCAATATTGTGGTGCATTTTGGAGCAACAAGTTAGGAGCCGCTATCCTCCACCGTCGTGTCGTAAAGAGCTGGAGAAGGTTTTAATGGAAGAATGACTGAAAATTCCTCTAGATGAAGTCAGGAAGCTGTATGATTCCATTCCTAGACGTATTAAAGCTGTGAGGCTAAAGGAGGACCAACTCCATATTAAATAAATTTAACAAGCGTTCCAATTATTTTGTCCAACCTCTGTATAATGAATATAATAAAAGTTAACTATTTTTTATCTTCTATTTATTTTGCAAAAAATAATTCAGTATCAAGACATAAAAAATAATAAAAAAAATAAGCCCGGTAGGTGATGGTTCGAGTACTCGCACCGGTCCGCGGAATACCACTTTGAGTGACACTGAGTTAGGGCATAATAGTTATTTGTTAGTTACAAAAGCAAAGTTTCAAGGATATATTAGTCATTTTTCATAATTTCTAGGCCTCAGCAAATATAAAATAACAGTTGCTACCCACGAACAAAAATCGTGTTACACAGAGTAATCGGCCTTGATCAATGAATATTTATTAAAAATTGTTTGGTTCATTAAGGCACCCAGTGAGGATTAGGTTCAAGTCCGTAGCAATTTAAGATCATTACTTTCAGAAATAAATTACGACTAAACAGTGAGTTTGACTCTCACTGGGTGCTCAATACTTTCGGCTCTGTTCCAAATCTAAGCTTCGCTTAGAAAATCACCAGAGAGCTTCGATGTGATGTAATGGTTAGCAAGATTGTCTCGCTAGATCAATTACGACTGAGTAGTGAGTTCGATCCTTATTGGGTGCCCCATACATTTGGCCTTGTGCCACATCTAAGCTTCGCTTAAAAATAGCCAACATGTATAACCAACTTCGCCAGTCCGTTCAGCCTTGTGTGCAAATAAATCTTCTTTATATGCCTTAGGCGGTCATGGCTCACTACGACTTCCTGTCTTTTATAACTCTTCATAAATTTTGTCTCCCTGTTCCGCCATCCATTTACTTAAGCTCATCATGTATGCTATGCGTTACTTTCTTCTGTTCCTCTTGCCCTCAATTTTTCCTGTGAGTATTAGATTTTCCAAACTTTCCTTCGTCATTATGTGCCCTTAAAACCTCAATGGTCTCTTCCTGATGTCAAGTATAAGTTTCCTTTTTGTTTCCCGTTCCTCTAAATCCTTGTTGATGATCACATATTCTGTCCATGGTATCTTCAGCATCCTTCTGTAGAACCACATTTCTGCTGCTTCAAGTTCCTTCTTCATCATTGAGGGGATTGCCCAACATTCACTACCATAGCTTTTGCTTTTGCAAGTGCTTTTGGAAGTCATCTTGGGCTATTTTAGTCCGTTTTCGGATTTCAGTGTTGCACTTCCCGTCCTCTGTTTTGTACTTGTTTGATTTCGGTATTCCCAATTTGTAATTCGCATGTTGGTCTTGTCCATTTTGCATACACATCATATATTATATGGCGCTTCTCACCCACCTGACACATGTTTATGATTTTGTACCTGCGTGATTTTGGTATCCCCAATTTGTAATTTGCATTTGGGGGCTAATCCTTTTGCTTGCGACTTTGGATTAACACTTATTTTTATCATTGCATACCATGCAAGGCGATAATACCACTAAGATGCGGACAGCTACTGTGAGTGAAAGAGAATGAGAAGATTTTAGAAGGAACCGGAAATCCAATCCTAAACAGGAAACATAGGATAAAAATATCCACCTGTTCTACTCCTGTTGAGAAAAAATAGTAAATAGAATGTCAGAGTTTGGCTGAAAATGTTAAATATATAGAGTTGAATTAGACTTTAGAAGGAACCGAAAATCCAAACCTAAACAGGAAACATGGGATAAAACTCTACTCCTGTTCAAAAGAGAGGTGAGGAGTGTGAACCGGACGATAAACGAAATCTACTCCTATTGAGAAAAAATAGTAGATAAATGTCATAGTCTGGATGGAGATGTTAGAAGTTGAATTAGACTTTAGAAGGAACCGGAAATCCAAACTTAAATAGGAAACATGGGATAAACCTCTACTCCTGTTCAAAAGACAGGGGAGGAGTGTGAACTGGACGATTGGCGAACCTATCTATTCCTATTTTATTTCGGAAGTTGAACACGATTCAACTTTCCGCGTCGATAACCCTTACGCTGTCCGCATAATCGGAAAGCTTTTTCTTCAACTATAAATATGAAGTAAGGAGATCGTATTTTACAGAACTGTTTACGGTAGGTCTATTGGTCGGACACGGTCGGTCATCAAGTACACTTTGTTTTGCGTGCAAAAATGTAAAGAGGACCAAAAAGAGGTGTGGCATACGTCTGGTGCGGAGTTTTAAAAAAAAATGAAAAAAAAAAAATGAAAAAAAAAATGTAAGCATTTTTTCACGTCAAGGTTGCAGAAAATTGATCCTTTCGTAAGAAATAAAAGGAACAGTTTTTTTGTTTGCATTGGGGGGGGGATTGTTTTTCTCCAGGAGTTAACAATGGCCATACTGAATTTTAAAAGTAAGCGGCTGAGTAGTATTGGAACGGTTTCGTCAGGATCTATTTAACGAGCGAGTTTATAGAGCATTGTTGAGATTTTTATCCATTATTTTTTTTTAATCGTCGGCTTCTTTAACATGTCTAATTAAAATCTACCAAAGTAGTTAAATGTCCCGGAGACAGAAAATGGGTCATGAGAAAAGAAGGCAATTATATCTTTTAACGTGGCAATGAAAAATGCTCTTCTTAAAGCCTGACATTTATATAGCATACTAAAAAAATGCCTACTCAAAGTAACTTAGTTCGTCACACTGTCAAATGAAGTAGAAACGGTGCGAAAAGCCAGTTATGTCGATTATCCAAAGTGTAATGGTTTGCACCACGAGAAAATAAAATAAAAATGCATTTAATTTAAAAATCAGTTCACCCCAAGCAAGGTAGTAGAGCCACTAAGACCAGTGGCGATTCTACGGCCGGGTGGGGGGGGGCAGGAGGGTCCAGTACTCCCTCCATAATTTTGGCTGGCCCCTCGGTTGCACCCCCCACTTTTCTATGTTTTGTAGAGGAAAAAATATCAGAGCTAACAAAATTACACTGTTCTGCTTGTATTGATGTTAGTATTAACCCTTTGATTTTCTTTTGAAGTTAACATCTCTTATTGTCCAATAGCTTGAGAGTGGAAAAGAAGGCAAGAATGGATTAGAACCCCACTACTATGAATGAAAAGTTATTCCGTTTAATTTAGTGAAGTAACATTGTTGTGATGAGATAACCCAACTTCCCCATTCACGATAATGGACGGACTGGTTGCCGATAAAGTACGACCACAGGCAACAGGGAAAAAGGTCTTCGTTTACTAACACCGTTGCGGTTAGCTTACTCCTGACTCTGTCTCTGTATTTTGACATACCTACATCCGATTATAAAATTATTATTGAAAACCACACTCGGGTTTACTTTGTTTATTATATCTTGCACGAGATATAACAAACATACTTATACTAAAACTCATTCCTAAGTTGTGTATACGATAGTGGGGTAGTATGAAAATAAAGACACTGCTTAAATTTGCCCCCGTTCTCCACAGAACAATCTCGGCCCCCAAGTGTCTCCACCCAACTTTCAGAGTTCCAGAATCGCTACTGACTAAGACAGGGTTACTTAGCGTGAAAGAATAAGAAGAAAGAGAAAAGGAACACAATAGAAGAGTAATCAAGAGGACAGTAGATAACGATTGATAAACGTAGTGGGAAAGCATGGCGCCGGAAATGTTCCATAAGCAAGAACTACGAGAAAGGAAAATGGCAGAATAGAACTTACAGTTTTAGCTAACCAATTCAACCATGAATAGATGAGACCGTACCGCCAGTCTAGTACTGCTTTTAAATTTATAATACCTAGCTACAAGAACAAAGAGTTCTTGCAAACAATTACCATAAAAGTGTTTATAGAAAAGACACAGAGAAGCAACATTAAAGCGGTGGGAAAGTGACTGAAGCCGAGACGTAAGGATATTGCTGATTCTTCGTTGGATTTTATCAAGAATGCCTAGATGCACAGCAGGAACACCAATCCATATGCGGTTTAAATAGATTTCAACATTGGTTATACATTTATAAGTGTATTTTGTATAGTATACACTGGAACTAAATATTAAACAACGTTTCGCCATATATTAAACTTAAAATTGAAAAAGGTGATCGATTCCTTTTTTACAGGCTTTTTGCGTGTTGTTTAAAGCCACAAATATGTTCTCTGTTTAGATAATAATGATTTACTGATATAACTCTTACTAATTAATCCATATCTGGAAAGAAATAGATTCATAAATTTCCCAGGGATATTTGCGTGTAAATGAATATAACGAACTGGAATTGGAACTCGGCTCTCTGATTAACAATTCTGAGCCATTATACCACCCGCATCTCGAAGCTTACAGTACCTGGTATTACCAAGCGGTCACTCATCTAGGTACAGAACAGATTCGACTTTGCTTAACTTCAGTGATCTTACGGGAACCGATGTTTTAACGTAATATGGTCACAAGCCCTTAGAAGAAGCCCTTATATAAGCCCTCCACCCATGTTTACGCCTAAAATTAAAAGGTGTACGAGAGTTTACTGAAAAGTTCATAGGTGATATGACAGGGTGTTGCTATAGTTGTATAATCTCACATGCATTAATTTCAACTCTTCTTATTAATAACTGAGTTGTTTAATTCCAGAAAAACTGAAAACTGACTGTTCAGAGAAGAGTGACCATCCTGTTGCTGAAAAAGTCATCGGTACCAGCTGTCTTTTATGCTGGAGAACAGATGGCAGTTAAATTAAGAGAATGAGGTTATTGATCAACCAGTTCAAAGTCATAGTCATTGAACCCAAGGGCTTGCGCGGTGGACCATTGTCCAATAAGACCTATCATATCAGGGATAGGCAGCGCCTATATATATATATATATATATATATATATATATATATATATATATATATATATATATATATAGTGGTACTGCTTGAAAAACCTTAGGTATTTCGGCTTGTAGTTGAACAAACCAGTACCCAATGAGGGATAAAAAAAAAGAAAGAACTAAGAACATGAAATTGAGGCGAAAACAATCGTCCAGAATTCAAGCTCAGAGTCCAAAGAAAAAAAAAACCCTCCAAAACGAGTAAAAGCAACCACGTAAAGTGCTCAATACACGAAGTAGAGCAAGCCTAGTATAAACCTAAAGAGCCAGGTAAACCTACCTAGGTTTCACTTAAACGGATCGTCAGGGTACAACTGATATATATATATATATATATATATATATATATATATATATATAATAGTAATAATCTTATAAATATAAAAATTATACTCGTCCGGAAAACCTTGGGAACTTTGATATGTAAATAAACAGACCAATACCCAAGGGGAAAAAAGGTACAAAAAAGAAAGAACAGAGAACATGTACGTCAGTCGAAGACAATCGTCTAGCATCCAAGTTCAGAGTCCAAAAAAAAAAAGCCCCGATACGAGTAAGTAAAATAACTAAGTGCTCAATACGCTAAGTAGAGCAAACCTAATTAAACCTAAAGTGCCAGATAAACCTACCAAGGTTTCACCTACGCGGATCGTCATGGAATACTGATATTAATTATATATATATATATATATATATATATATATATATATATATATATATATAAAGAGAATGAGATTGGTGATCAATCAGTTCAAAGTCATAGTCAATGAACCCAAGGGCTTGTGCCCTGGAGCATTCTCCTGATGAGACAAGACCTCTTTAATCAGTTTTTCTGGGTGTTCATAAAAGTACTCACCATTGATGATGTGGCCTTTTTGAAAATCATACTTATGATAAAACCCAGGTTGTGTGTGTGTGTGTGTGTGTGTGTTCTTTTATATATTGGATCGGTTTTCCTACATTTTTCAACCGATTTCAACAAAACTTCACAGGACTACGTAAAATTACCTTGCGGTGGCTCTGAGAGCACCAAAAAATTGGAAAAACACAATTGTTTGTGCACGGAATCAATTTGAAAACATGATTAAGAGGCATCGCGAGAATGGAAGGGGGGCAACTCATATCGAGTTATACTTATTATAAAACCCAGGATGGTTGTGTGTGTGTGTGTGTGTGTGTGTGTGTGTGTGTGTGTGTTCGTTTATATATGGGATCGGATTTCCTACATTTTTCAACCGATTTCAACAAAACTTCACTTTTTTTGGCAGGTAGTGTTTCTTATTGTCTTGCACACTTTTTTCTTTATTTTTACATTCAGAATGCTTTAAAAATTCCATTTACAAGACAATTGTTTATAATAAAATTCTATTCAATCGGTAGACTCATAATGATTGAAAAGAATGTTTTTGTTTGAGTTTGACCAATTCGTAAAAAAAAAACAAAAAAAAAATAATTAAGACTTGTGTGTCCGCCAACCTTAAACAATAATCTTTGTCAATTTTATTTTTCAGTCTTTATGATAGTCGATACTTGATCTATCTCTTACTGTTACATCCCCGGGCAACGGCGGGCTCTGCTGCTAGTGGTCAATAAACACAATGCTTTTTGCATCTAAACAGAGACAAGCACTTTCCACGCAGATGAAAGGAACTTGGCCTTCTTTGGGGCATATGAAGAGGGTTGTTTCCACTGAATGGATTTTCTCTTTGTCTCTGTCTCAAAGTGATGAACCCAACACTAATCATGGGTTAGGAAACTCTCAAGGAAACCAACTGAATCTGCCTCAAACAATATTAGATCTTTCCGTGATATGATCAGCCTAGCAGAAACCTTGGTCATGCCAAGTTCATTATGCAGAATATTCACAACTCTCTCACGGGATATGTTAATAGCTTTGGCTATTTGATTTATAATCTATCGCCTGTCATCCATTATCATGTAGTGAACACAATGTTTTCCTCGGTGGTGGCAGTCACAGGACGTCCATACCTTAGGTCATCTTCAGGACTCTACCTTCCGTTCCTCTCCTGAATCCATCTTTTGCACTGTTTATAGAATCTAACATTGTTTGAGGCAGATCCAGTTGATTTCCTTGAACGTTTTGTAATCCAGGATGAGTGTTGGGTTCACCACTTTCAGGTAGAGACAATCCATGTAATGGAAACACCCCTCAATGTTTTCCTTGCAGGAATTCCAAACCTTGGGTCATCTTCAAAACTCTCATTCCCCCCTCTTAAATTCAGTTACCCGCTTTAAATTAAAGAATGCTCAAAAATTCTTTAAAATATCTTATTTGGACATAAAGTTCTTGAGAGTGCAATTATCGATTCTTGATAAAATGTTAAATTAGGTTCTGAATTTTTCCTAAATAGCTCCTTTCTCAAAGAACATACTCCTTTTCCAAGGCAATATATATGACAATAAACATATTTTTAATAATTAAAGGAAAACAGTTAACTCAAGACCTGTTACTTTTTAAAATACATAATTTATCAAATTAAAATAAAATAATAAATAATAATTACATTTTTTAAAAAAAAGCAAATATATATAAACAAATAAGAAAATTAAATATTCAACAATATCATTTACTCACTTTTATTTATGAGTCATTAAATTATATCACTTGGCGTCCTCCATAGTTTACCTTGACTTACATATTTAGCTTTAAGAATATTGTAGAGCTTTCTTAAATTTTAAACCTTAACGATATTTTCCCGACACTTTACTTTTTGTTTATAAATACATATTACTAAATAAAATCCTTCATAAAGTACCTCGGGCCGGACTCGAACCCGCAATTCTGAAATTTTGGATTCCCAAGTTTTCATTAGTGCGATTGTTTTCGGCGATTTTTGTGCTTGGTATGTTGCGAGGATTTTTTTTTTTTTTTTTTTTTTTGTACGATAACAATTTTTATAAATTGGAAATCAATTTGGGAATAATCGAAATTAATTGTGAAATCCAGCGAAAGTCAACCATGAAATAAAAATAATCGTTTGTACGGAAAGTAAGGACCTACGTACATCAAAATGTCTTTAAATTAAGTGGCGACAGAAGAAATATCATTGAACTTTTAAAATGTTTGGTTAAATATTATATGCAATACTTCAATGTAGCGATCAATTTTGAGTTCTTCTGTAGTTTATTGTTGCCTAATGCATCTATTCCTCCCTACCTTTTTTGATGAAGGCTCAATGAAGAGCCCTCCGCAGGACCTAACTTAAATGCCACTCGATAAGCTAGTACATATATATTTTTGGTGGACCAAAAGTAGGCTTACATTTAGTAGATATTTTTTAAATTTTTTGAATATTTTATTACATTTATTTGTTACAATCATATTTGTTCAAAATGGTATTTAGTCACCCCCACGACGAGGGCATCATGTGGCACAAGGCCGGTTTAACGTGGGTTCTCCGAGCCCGTGGGCTCGGCCAAAAATATGCCCTTTGAACCCGTATAAACGGGTTCAGGGTCGATTTACCTCACCGAACGAGACTCCGCCCTTCGGCGAGGGCCTCGTTCTGGTTCCTCCCCGCCCGAAGGCAGAGAGTTCAACCGATCAGCCGGTCGCCCGACTTCAGGCGAATATTTGTTCAAAACTGTTTATTTACATTTGTTTAACACTTACATTTCTTTTTTAGAGCAGTTTAATCTCTGAAGTGCTCAAAATATCCTCTTTTAATATTACCACATTCTTCGAACCTCTCCAGGAATCTATCACAGACCGCATGACACAAATCCTGATCTGCATCAATTTCAATAAATATTTCTAGGGTTGCACTCTTTTAAATCGTCCACCGTATTGGGATTTCTCTCATAAACCTTATTCTTTATTACCCCCCCCCCCCACAAAAAAGAAATCCATCAGTGTTAGGTCAGGTGATCATAGTGGCCATTTGATGCTGCCTCTTCTTCTAAACCAACGCTGTGGAAATGTTTAGTTAAGGTTGTCCCTTACTGCCAAAGCATAATGGGGAGGTGCTGCATGATTTGGATAAATTAGATCTAAAATATGAAACAACTGTAATCCTATTTTTAGCTCACCCCCTACATTCACATCGAGAATTCTACGATAAGATGAGAACGTAGAATATGTTTTAATATTAAGAAAAAAAATATCCGGACCTTGATAATAGTCCTGACTGCTACAAATTTGTTTGTTATTAATAAAATATGAGATTGGATGTGTGAGTCTTTTACTTGATATCTACGTATTTCTATCCATTATATATCAGTATCAATCTCTATATATCAAGAGAATGAGCCAAAAGTAAGCTTACAGTTAGTAATTTTTTAAAACATTTTATTACATTTATATTTATTTGTTACAATCAGATTTGTTCAAAACTGTTTATGTACATTTGTTTAACAATTTACTTACATTTTTTTTAGAACAGTTTAATCTCGGAAGTTCTCAAAATGTCCTCTTTTAATATTGCAACATTCTTCGAACCTTTCCAGGACTCTATGACAAACAACACGACACAAATAATAAATTCTTCTGAGATGCACTCTTTTAATTCGTCCACCGTGTTGGGATTTCTCTCATAAACCTTATTCTTTACTACACCCC